AAATTTGCTTACACAGGGTGTCTCAGAAAAATTAATGACTGAGTTGTTAAAAAATAAATATCCAATCAGATTTAGGAATTAAACTCGTTACTATGGAAATGTGCAAATTAAGACCTTTTAAATTTAACAAGTTTTTACAAGTTTAATAGGGGCAAAGTCAGTATTATCTTAGCAAGTACTAGCCCCGCCCACCCGCCACCTATTTTTTCAGAGGATACGTCATTAGCCAAAATCAGTCTTATCCAAGCAAGTACTAGCCCCGCCCACCCGCCCCCTACTTTCTCAGAGTTTGTCATTTGCCAAAATCAGTCATATCTTAGCAAATACTAGCCCCGCCCACCCACCCCTATTTTTTTCAGAGGATATATCATCTGCCAAAATTAGATTTATCTTAGCAAGTACTAACAAGTACTACCTTCTGAGAAAATAAAGGGCGGATGGGCGGGGCTAGTACTTGCCAACATAAGTCTTATTTTGGCAGATGACGTATCCTCTGAGAAAATAGGGGGCGGGTGGGCGGGGCTCTTGACAAGGTAAGGTTGATTTTGGCAAATAACATACGTTCTAAGAAAGTAAAGGGTGGGTGGGCGGGGCTAGTACTTGCTAAGATAAAACTTATTTTGGCAGTTGACATCCTCTGAGAAAATAGCGAGGCGGGTGGGCGGGTCTAGTGTTTGTTAAGATAAAACTAATTTTGCCCCTATTAATATTGTAAAAACTTGTGAAATTTAAAAGTGTTAAATTGTAAATTTCCTGTATCTATTCACTTTTAAACTTTCATCATTCGCTAAAATTTGCAAAGTCGCATATTTAATGAGCACAGCATTAATCGAACAATCTTTTTTAAATCAAAGAAAATTTATTTTTTGTTGGTTCTTTTTTCACGAAAATTTTATTTTTGACTCAACTATGATTTTTTCATGTTCCTGCACTCTGAAAATTAATGTAGTATGGGTATTTTAAAATCTCCACTGACAACTATGTTTCAGATATTTAACCTAAGTAAATATATTCATTTAGTTTTCAAAACATAAGAAATTTTTCTAATATTTTGAACATTTTGGATTTTGAGTGTCATTACTGAATTTTCTCTTCATATTTCTGATTAATTCAACATTCTTTTAAATTGTACTACGTCTCATGCTTAGTGAGCACAGCATTAATCAAACAGCTCTTTTAAAGTTACGAAAATTTTCTTTTTTTTAATGTTTTCTACTCAGTTATGATTTACTCACAATTCTACTCCCTGAAAATTAACATATTCCCGCCCACCCGCCCTATCTCAACTGTGACGATTTTTTTATGCATGGGCGGGGCTTATATTTTACGGATTTGCAATTAAGCTCCTAAGCTCCGCCCCCTGGCTCACGACGAATAAAAAAATTATCACAATCGAGGTGGGGTGGGTAGGCGGGGCTAATCTTTCGACTTTTGTTCTTTCTTAATATTCGTAATCTTCTTTCCTCAACTATAAACTTAAAACATGGTAAAAATGGTAAATTTTCGTAAAAATTTATTAAAACGAAGGCAAAATATATTTTGATTAAAATTTCAATATTTACCCCAATCTTCTAAAACTTCACTCTTTACAAACTTTCTTTTTTACTGAAAATTCGGTTCAATTTACGCGAATCCACAAGGAATATTTCATTGTCAAATTGTCAGTAACATCTCAAGAGCTTTGATAATCACAGAATAGTTTTGACAGTTTTAAAATTACATTTCTTAGCAATGAAAGGAAATGTGCTTTGAAAAGTTGTAATAAAATTATAAGAATCGATTAATGCCAAAGGGAACAAAAAATATATCCAGCTTACACAATTTTCAGGTTCTAGGTATTCCTGTTTGGAAAAAATTTGGTAGTGCTTTGGAGCCTCTAGTTCCTTATCTTCTAATAATTTAGTTAAATTAATTGAAGGATATGTCATTCTCATTTGTCAAAATCAGTCTCAACAGGCACTAGCCCCACCCACTCACCCTCTCTTTTCTTAGAAGGTATCTGATTTGCCAAAATCAGTCTTATTTTATCAGCTACTAGCCCCACCCACCCACCCTCTCTTTTCTTAGAAGATATGTGATTTGCCCACCCTTATTTTTGCAAAGGATATGTCATCTGCCAAAATAAGACTTATCTTAGCAAGTACTAGCAAGTACTACTTTCTGAGAAAATAAAGGGCGGGTGGGCGGGGCTAGTACTTGCTAAGATATGTCTTATTTTGGCAGATGACATATCTTCTGAGAAAATAGGGGGCGGGTGGGCGGGGCTAGTACTTGATAAGATAAGGTTGATTTTGGCAAATGACATATCCCCTGGGAAAACAGGGGGCGGGTGGGCGGGCCTAGTATTTGTTACGATAAAACTGATTTTGCCCCTATTAATATTGTAAAAACTTAAAATTTAAATTTACTTTTTGTTGCTTCTTTTTTCACGAAAATTTTATTGTTGACTCAACTATGATTTTTTCATGCTCGTGCACTCTGAAAATTAATGTATTATGGGAATTTTAAAATCTCTACCAGGATTTGTGACTGCTATCTAGTTGTTTTTTAAATTCATTTTATTCCTTGTTTTCTATAACACTACTATTGAAATTTATAATGTGACATACGAATTGAGATTTTGACAGGATCTGTTTATCCCTCCTGGTGTTTTGATGACGTCATTTTATTAGTCCAGATATCCGTGATTCTCAAGTTTGGATAATCTTTTCTCGGGTAGATTGAGCAGGGACGTGTTTTACAGAATAGTCAGCTAGATTACCCGACCTAACACCAGTCGATTTTTGTTGTGGAGTTCTCTTAATTGTTTCGATACGCCGACGCCATTGTTCCTAGCCAATAGCCAAATAAACCCACACCACGAAATCCTTCCTGCCTCTGTCCACAATGTTAGTCTATTTTTCTACCCTACCTCACCCCATCGAGCGAAAGTTTGTTTTTCAGGGAAAAAAACACGACATTTTTTTACGACCTATGAACATTCCGTGACTAGGAAGGAAACATGGTTTTCAGTGAAATAAAAGAAATAAACACTGTTCTACATTTTTTATTACTTAAATTGTTCATATATGTAGCCCTTTGGGGTGAAGTTACAGTCGTTTTCAGCGGTTTTAGCAGTCTAATGCAACCCGACACACATAACCTAAAAAAAGCAACACATTCCGTGCGAAGGATTATTGGCATAATTTACCGCGACAGCTACAACTTCCGATACAATTGTTTGGGTTACAGAATATAAGTGGTGATTTTTGACCTGGTAATGAAGAGTGCAATGCCCTTTCGAAACGTTGTTTGCTGTAGTCCAGAATGCTAAAAAAGAAAGCACTTAATCATTGTTAATATTATTATTCCGTAAGAGCTACATCGTCCTCGGCAAACAATTCAACGTTGACTTTTCTGTGAAACCCGAATCAATAAGTTTCATGTGCTCCGCGAATTTTATGTCTTTCAATAAATGTTCGATGCTTAAAGTTTCAGAGCCGTTCTTCATATAATAAGAGCCTCAACTTTGTCATTCCATGTTTTTAATGTCGCATGAGAACAGCAGACTACATTTCGTTAAAAACGTATATAGTTTGTCGAATTCAAATGATCTCCAGGGAGTGTAAGCCCCATTTCCGATCCTCTGGACACCTCTAATCAAATTTTCCCCGAGATCGATAGCTCTTTAACTGGTGTTACGTGGTAGCCGAGTTGAAGAACCTCGACCGCCCTTGCAATCCTTAGGGATTCGCGTGCTTATCAGTGATAAAACACACTTTCATTATTTCAGGCTAGACGCTGGTGCAGACTTGTATTTTTAACTAGCACGGAACTTGGGCTCTTATCGATAGGACGGCAGAGGGAATTTATAAAATACATATCTGTCGACGTGTACTTGTTTGATAAGGGGCGCTCGAAAGTTTGTGTGCTTTATGCGTCGATACTTACCGCCAGACAAATAAATTCTTTCGTGTTATAACATTTCAACATTCCGAGGCGGTTGAATTTCGGGTTTTATTAATTTTTTGTGGCGAATTTCGTGCACGAAGCGAACTAAGAATTAAGGTCTAAGTATAGGGGTTGCTTGAGGTTTTACTTGGAAGTTGCCAACTGCATTTGGACATGAAATGGCGATCAATGGGTTTTTTGTGGGTTTGATTGCATTGGGTGACCCAGTAAAACTAAGTTGGCTGCAGTGGAGTTTTATGTCGTTAGAGGTGAGCCAACAAACCTTGAAAAAGTCCAGCTGACATCGTAATCGTGACAGTTGATTAATGAATTTTTAGTTTGAATAGGATTTCCTTGGATTTCTGTCCTACTTAGGTGTGCCGCCTTGTCGTAATAAGGATTATAGTGACAATATATAATGCGATTGCAAATCTCGAGATAGCGATCATATTTCGACTTGTTGTGGACCCCAGAGAAGCTCCATCTTTGACACTTTGAATATAAACGACCTTATTACTCAAACCCCATCTGCAACTCCAAAATAAACTAAATCCAAGCTTTGTTCGCTCTAACCCAAAAATCGCCTTTTCCTTAATCCGAGACAAATTACTTGTAAACTCGACCCGTTTGGACCACTTCCAGCACCCTTGTTGCACTACGTGCCTCAGCCCCGAATTCGTCGCAATGGGCCACTAACCGGGTTAACTATCGGTGTTAAATATCAGCAGAGCCGCGAAATTGCCATCATCATTTCGATCCGATCCATAAAATCCAGACGGACATTTAATAACGGAAAGCCAAGCAACAAATTGAAAACGTCCAGCGTGTATGTACGTTTGACCCTACTCATATTTACCCCGTTTGGTCAATAATTTAGCTCGGAGAGGGGTCGACGGCTTCCGTAAAGCACGCATAAAAGCGACATAATTCTATTCACATAATCACATTCATAACCCTCCTGGATACACCTGCCCGACCGTGTGAAAAACAGAAAGCTGCCGTTACGGTTCTGAATTCGCGATTTGCGTCTGGCGCTTCGTTCGCTCTATAACTTGTAGTTTTTGTTCCAGCTACCGGTTTGGACCCTACGGGTCTGCTGTCATCCGCCACATCTCCGGGTCAGTCCATCGACCTTCTGGGTGCCTTGGGTTTGCACAACAACAGCTGGGCAGGCGTTACACTGGCGCCCGGACCACAGCAGCTTCGGCCGGCATACTACTTACAAGGTAAACCACCCTCCGATTAATCAGTTTGGCGAGGCTTAACTCGTTATTTATAATTAAAAGCTGTGCGGTCAGGGGAGCTTTGATCTGGAGCCGAGTGAACTATATGATCGAATCAAATCAGGTTAACGCTCTTTAACCCTTGCCCGAGGGATCAAGCGAACTAAAGGACGGCCCAACCATTTAACGGGCTCGAAGCCTTCACATACAATTGCTAAAGTTTAGGGCGGCTAATGTTGCGGAAAATCGACGTAATAATCAATCCATCAACTTGTCTTTTCCAATAGGGAGTCGGGTTATTTCCACTGGGAAAACCATATTTTCCCGAGATTGGATTATGGAAAATATTTCTTTTTGCGACTGGCAGATTTAGGGGCGCTACTTTCAAGATCAACGGGACTTTGGCAAATGGAAGGTTTTCGCAAGACCATTGATTAAATACATATAGATAGACCCATGCTATTGTTTGGAGCGAACAGGCCAACGGCCGGCGAACAAGCGATGGCGCACCAACAGTCGGCCGTCAAACGCCGGCGAAAAGCTTGGACACCAATCGCGCGCGTAGATAACCCAAATCGCAGCAACAATACATTTAATAAAGCTACCACTCGACAGAGGGCGACGAAAACAATGTGTAAAAATCTCATAGTAACCATTTATATAATTTGCAACGTTGCCAGATGAGCCTAGCACAACTTTGCCGTTATTTCTAGTCGATTAGATTTTATTTCGTTTAAAAGTTTCTGGTGAATAAATGGAATTATTATAATGAATAAACAATACAAACAAATTATTACTTGTTATTTTAAATATTTGTTAATGTTGATGAAAACATAAATGGTAATTAAAGTTATTCTAAATACGGTCCGGTCCGGTAGCTCAAATTTTACAGTACGAGTGATATGTTTCAGGACGAGTAGGTAGCCGAGTCTTTAATTTCGAAACGAGTACTGCGAAAAGAGTTACCGGACGTATGTTGTTATGTATTTTATTTCATACTGTCAACATACTTTTTTATTCGATAATATTATTATTATTTTGAGAAAAAATCCAAATCGAGTCACTTTTTCTGACATCGTTAGCAACCGCTCTTTGGTAAATGTTTTAATTTGTTTATTCGTGCAAATCAGCATCATATGTTTAAACACATAGTACTTATAACACTTTACAGGACTTATTGTTTTGTATAATCCGACTCGATGGACGAATGTTTTGTGCAATCCGTCTCGAAGGACCAGTGTTTGTGCAACTCGGCTCGTCCTACCAGTATTTTTTGTAATCTGGTTGATACGACAATGTGATACCGAATTGTACTTTGATATTGCTCCAAGGACCTTTGTTTTCTTGCGTGCGAGATAATAGACAGCGTTCGGTTTCGATGTTTAATACAGGACGGTTACAGAAATACTAAATTTACATTTGTATTTACAATAACAGGTAAAGCAAAAGAGACCCAAAAGGGTCAGTGGCCGCTTCCGGAAATGGAACACTTGTCCTTTTTGGCTCAATTTTATCGGACTTGTCCGTTTTTTTGATTTTACCGGAATCGTTCGATCCAGTAAAACGTCAAACTTGACATAGTATAAAGTAAAATAAATAAATTTTATTCAATTTTGACATGTAAACAAACGTTTATTTTGCCGTCAGTAGGCCACTAAAGCTTTGGTTTATCCGGTAGCACCATAAAATTTTTAAACCGCTAGCGAAATAAAATTTTTATTTTGCTGTTTTAAAACCATGGTTACCATTTCTGTAATTTCTCCAATGCCTTGCTGCTCTTTCCATCTAAGGAACTTTTGATACACTTTCTGATTTGCTCTTTTTTGGGAGCAAGTTTTGCCGTTGGAATCTTGCATGATTTTGCAATTTTTCGATAATTTTAGTTTGTTTAAAATAAACAAACACCGTCGCCAGAGTCACATACTACACACACACACCTGATATTGTAACCTAAATTCTACGCATATAAAACTTTTATTTGGTCGCTGTCAATTCTGACGTTTCTCGAATGTGAACTTTGAATCACCAATTTTTTCACAATTTGGGACTTGGGGTTGTCAAAATTGAATAAAAGTTTGTATTACACTCGCGGTTAAAATGAATGTGTAACTCGTGGTCTTAAGGCGCTCGCGGCATGCGCCGCTCTCGCCTTAAACTGGCCGCTCATTAAACATTCACTTTAACCGCTTGTATAATAAATAACTATTATGATGTAAATACAATTAAGTATATCGATAATTCGCTACTGAAAATTTATTGAAATATAATTTGTGTTAAAAAAAGATTTTTGTGGTTTTATGGTTTATTAACATAATTTACTTATTTGAAATTAAATATTTTTAATACATAGCACAAGTTCTTGATATTCTTTATTTTTATTCCAAGTAATAATTGTGTTTCCTTTAGTTTTAATCAAGAAAATTTTTCGGTTATTATCTAACATACTTTTGTACATTAAGAAACTCCATTCCACGTCACAGGACGTTACAGGACAATATTTAAATAAATAAAGAAGTCGTTTTATGTGTTTTAAAATTCACTCTGATTTCCGGACTTTAGACTTTTTGGTGTTTCACTTCGGCACAAGAACTAGTCGTATCTCAAAGAAAACAAACAGTGGAATATACCGTATTGTACCTATATTTCATAGTAAAAATGTCTAAATTTTTTTATGAAGAGACAGACTGTTCTAGGAAACTTTACTAAATCTTTTCATTTACGAGCTATTGAAAGTCCGCCGGTCTCACTGATACTTCTTACTTGGCTCCTACGAATGAAGCGAAAAATGCACAGATTGAAAATATAGTAAATGGGTTAGTATGTATGCGTGAAATGTCGTTAGACATTAGGTATTTTGCAAATAAAATTTATTTCATTGAAAACAGAAACAATAAAAAACATATCTGTACAAGTTTGGAATCGATATGGCCAGTTGTTTAGAATATGCAAATATGCTTTTGTTCGTATTTACAATTATTACGAAACAGGTTATCAAATAATCTATTTTCACATGGCGAGACTTTCAAGCGGCCGAAGAATTAAAAACCATAAATTTTCATTGAAGAAACAAACTCTTCCAAGAAAATTACCAAATCTTTTAGTTTACGCACTATTGGACGAGCACTCCTTAAAACGGTCAGTATACCTAATCGCATTATTCCATTGATACCTACCTACCGAAAACGTTGCCAGATGAGCCTAACACAAATTTGCGGATATTTCTCGTCAACCAGATATTATTTCATTTAGAAGTTTCTGGTAAATAAATGGGATTATTGTAATGAACACATAAAACAAATAAATTGTGATTATTATTTGTTGTTTTAACCCATTAGACGCTTATAGGCTTATAAGCATACTTTTCTTGAAAAATCGGTAATAAATTCAGTGAAACATCTTTGTGCCTTAATTCCTATTGGTAAACTGGGATTTTCAATAGAGGTCGCAGGAAAATTTTGTATGGTTTTATGGTTTATTTACATAATTTTCTTATTTACAATGAATGTTTTTGATATATAATACAAGTTCTTGATATTATTTATTTTAATTACATTTAATAAACCATAAAACCACAAACATCTTTTTTTAACACAAATTATATTTCAATAAATTTTCAGTAGCGAATTATTATCGATACACTTAATTGTATTTACATCATAAAATTTATTTATTTTACTTCATACTATGTCAAGTTTGACGTTTTACTGGATCGAACTATTCCGGTAAAATAAAAAAAACGGACAAGTCCGATAAAATTGAGCCAAAAACACGGAGGTAGAAGAGACACTCTTCTACCTCCGTGGCCAAAAAGGACAAGTCTTCCATTTCCGGAAGCGGCCACTGACCCTTTTGGGTCTCTTTTGCTTTACCTGTTATTGTAAATACAAATGTAAATTTAGTACTTCTGTAACCGTCCTGTATTAAACATCGAAACCGAACGCTGTCTATTATCTCGCACGCAAGAAAACAAAGGTCCTTGGAGCAATATCAAAGTACAATTCGGTATCACATTGTCGTATCAACCAGATTACAAAAAATACTGGTAGGACGAGCCGAGTTGCACAAACATTGGTCCTTCGAGACGGATTGCACAAAACATTCGTCCATCGAGTCGGATTATACAAAACAATAAGTCCTGTAAAGTGTTATAAGTACTATGTGTTTAAACATATGATGCTGATTTGCACGAATAAACAAATTAAAACATTTACCAAAGAGCGGTTGCTAACGATGTCAGAAAAAGTGACTCGATTTGGATTTTTTCTCAAAATAATAATAATATTATCGAATAAAAAAGTATGTTGACAGTATGAAATAAAATACATAACAACATACGTCCGGTAACTCTTTTCGCAGTACTCGTTTCGAAATTAAAGACTCGGCTACCTACTCGTCCTGAAACATATCACTCGTACTGTAAAATTTGAGCTACCGGACCGGACCGTATTTAGAATAACTTTAATTACCATTTATGTTTTCATCAACACTAACAAGTATTTAAAATAACAAGTAATAATTTGTTTGTATTGTTTATTCATTATAATAATTCCATTTATTCACCAGAAACTTTTAAACGAAATAAAATCTAATCGACTAGAAATAACGGCAAAGTTGTGCTAGGCTCATCTGGCAACGTTGCAAATTATATAAATGGTTACTATGAGATTTTTACACATTGTTTTCGTCGCCCTCTGTCGAGTGGTAGCTTTATTAAATGTATTGTTGCTGCGGTTTGGGTTATCTACGCGCGCGATTGGTGTCCAAGCTTTTCGCCGGCGTTTGACGGCCGACTGTTGGTGCGCCATCTCTTGTTCGCCGGCCGTTGGCCTGTTCGCTCCAAACAATAGCATGGGTCTATCTATATGTATTTAATCAATGGCAAGACTTAGCCGAGTTGGTGTATGCAACCCAAAATACACCTGCCATGGTTTTCACACTCTTCTGTGCGTTACCTCATGACGTCGACTGATAATAAACAATGTCTCTTAACTACCAATAAATCA